ATTTTGTTGTGTCGACTTCTGCTCAGTGCATCAACAACAACGTTTGCCTTCCCTGAATGATAACTAATAACACAATCGTAATCCTTAACTAGTTCTAACCACCTTTGTTGTCTCATGTTAAGCTCTTTTTGTGTAAAGAAATATTTCAAACTCTTATGGTTGGTGAAAATCTCACACCTTTCTCCATACAGATAATGTCTCCAGATTTCAAGCGCAAAAACAACTGCTGCAAGTTCTAAATCATGTGTAGGATAGTTATTCTCGTACTCGTTCAGTTGGCTTGAAACATATGCTATTACTCTACCATTCTGCATGAGTACACAACCCAAACCGTTCTTTGAGGCTTCACTGTAGACAACAAAACCTCCACTGCTTGATGGGATTGATAGAATAGGTACAGATGTTAATCTTCTTTTAAGTTCTTAAAAGATCCGTTCACAAGCTTCTGTCCATTTGAAACTTACATTCTTTCTGGTCAATTGTGTTAATGGTGAAGCAATTTTAGAAAATCCTTCCACGAATCTTCGATAGTATCCTGCCAAACCAAGAAAGCTACGTACTTCTGATGGATTATTCGGTCGAGGCCATTTTTCAACAGCTTCTACTTTACTTGGGTCAATCGAGATCCCTTCCCCAGAAATAACATGTCCAAGGAATACCACTCGATCCAACCAAAACTCACACTTCTTGAATTTTGCGTATAACTGCTTTTCTTTCAATACCTCACGTACTCTCCTTAAATGCCCGCTATGATCTTCTTTTTATTTAGAGTATATAAGGATATCATCGATGAACACAATCACAAACTTATCTAAGAAATCCTTAAATACCCTATTCATTAAGTCCATGAAAGCAGTTGGAGCATTTGTCAAGCCAAACGGCATCAACATAAATTCATAATGACCGTACCTCGTGCCAAAGGCTGTCTTAGGAATATCTTCTTCTTTTACCTTCAACTGGTGATATCATGAGCGCAAATCAATCTTCGAAAATACTGTTGCACTCTGAAGTTGATCAAACAAATCATCGATTCTTGGTAAAGGGTACTTTTTCTTGATTGTTACCTTATTCAGCTATTGGTAGTCAATACACATTTTCAATGTGCCATCCTTCTTACGGACAAACAAAACTGGTGCTCCCCAAGGTGAAAAGTTGGGTCTGATAAATCCTTTGTCCAATAGTTCTTGTAGTTGCACTTTTAACTCCTTTAATTCAGCGGGTGCCATTCTATATGGTGATTTGGATATCAGAGCCGTTCCTGGCTGTATATCAATCACAAATTATATCTCACGATCTAGTGGTAATCCTGGGAGATCTTCAAGAAATACTTCAGTGTACTCCCGAACTACTGGAACTTTATCAATTTTGGGGCTTTCCTCATTTTCAATACTCATTACACTTAATAGATAGCCTGTACAACCATCGTTTAATAGTCGTTGCGCCTTCATAGCTGATATTACCAGGAATTGAAGATTTTTACTAATCCTGATATAAGAAAACGATTCTTCACCCGGTGGTTGAAGTGATACGATCTTTCTCCGACAATAAATTGTGGCATTGTACTTCGATAGCCAATACATGCCCAATATTACCTCATAGTCATTCATGTCTATTATGATCAGATCAACATATAGTTCTCTTCCTTCAATCGAGACACTACAAGCTCGAATAATTTGGTTTGTTTGTCTTGTCTCTCCAGATGGTATCACAATTTTTTTATGTTTTATCAGGTACTCTACCTAGCCTCTTCATATACTCAGTGGATGCAAAGGAATGTGTGGCTCCAGAATCGATAATGCAAAAGTAGGAATTCCAGAGATTAATATGTTACCTGTGATCACTTCTGGATTCGCCTCAGCATCTTCACGAGTCAGGGTGAACAATCGGCTGGTAATATTTCTCGAAGATTTGGTTTTGGTTGATTGGTGCACATGTACGCCATGTGTCCTGGTTGTTTACACGTGTAGCATACTCCCTTTCCTTTCAAACATTCCCCACTGTGTTGCTTTCCTTAATTTGGACAAGTAGGAGGCAATGCTGGAGCTTTCCCTTGGATGAATTTAATACGCTTGTTTGCATCCCCTTGCTCTTGCCTTTGTCGTTGTTGGAATATAGGTCTTTCAGTTTGAAATTGCATTGGCCTCTTCTTCTCCATTCCAACCCAACGCGGTCCTTGTTTTTGTACAAGCTGGCGTCTATCTTCCACTGCGTTCCTTATTTTTAGTTCTGCTTGCTCAGCAACAAGAGCTCTCTCAGCTACTTGTGAGTAAGTAGATCCATGTACCCCAGCCATGTAAACGTCTCTATAAAGTTCTGGTTTCAAACCTTCTAGGAAGCGCTCCATTTTCAAAGCATCAGTACTGACCATATGTTCCCCAAACCTTGAGAGTTGTTCGAATTTGTGGATGTAGTCTGCAACTGTCATGCTACCCTGCCTCAGTTGTATAAACTTGTTCATTTTCATTGCTCGTGTGGGAGCTGTTAAATAATTGTTTCTGAAGAGCTCCTTGAATCGGTCCCATGTCACGGTAGTCACATCTTCGATACACTTGATTGTATCCCACCAATGCCCGGCACTACCTCGTAACATAAAAGAGGCACACAAAACTTTTTCCTCCTCAGAAACTCTGCTATATTGGAACATGTTATACACCGTTCTCAACCAATCTTCTGCTTCTACTAGATCTGCAGCTTCCTCGCAAAAAGTTGGATTTAATTTTTGGAATCTTTCTCCAACTATCTCGACTGGTCCTGCCTGGTATGTCCCTTGATTTTTAGCACCTCTTAGAAACCCATTAGCATTTTTTTGTTGAATAAGTTGTTAGATTTGATGGGATTGTTTTACTATCAATTAAGTCAATCGTCCAATGACTGCATCACAGTTGTCTCGAGGGTTATATGTCCCTTCCCCTTCTCTTCTGTTAGCACCACCACTACCTTCGCTCCTAGTTCTCGCCATATTTATACTACATGGCCAACATGTATAAGACAAGTAAAACACATAATAACAAAAGCTTAACGGCACTGTTGCACTCCATGAGCTCTAAGTCGTGTACATGGACAGTCTACAGGACCTGCAATCTGGGCTCTGATACCACTCTGTCACGACCGCTATTCTACTACTAAATATTCTTATATTTTGGAGATTTACTTAGATTTATTTATAAACATAACATGACAATATTATTTATACATACTGAAAAGGATCCAAACACTGTTTATGAAATTTTATACATCAGAGTTTATTGAAAGAAAATTTATACATAGAGTAAGTTCACTCGCTGGCCCAACAGGTCGTCATCCATGTACACATCCCCAAAGCTCTTTGAATCCAACTGTCCGGTCACGTCAATCATCAGATATCAACAAGATCACCTACAATACATAAACTATATGAGCTATGGCTCAATAAGTAAAAGTCATGCATGTCATTCAAATATAATCATTAACTTATATGCACTACAACATGAAATGCAAATGCTCGTGTTGTTAAAACATTTCTTTCTCTAAAAAACATTTCTTTCTCTGGGCCCTTTGACCTCACTAATAGGCACCGGAAATGAGCTCAATATCATCAATAATCATAACATCCCAGTCCTGGTCGTCTCCCACGCCTTAAAGCAATGGCTCACGGGGCACTGGAATGGCTCAGTCCTTACGTCTCACATGCCTTAAAGAAATGCCTCACGGGGCACTGAGCATAACATAATAATAAGTCAATTCCTTACGTCTCACACGTCCTTATGCAATTTCTCACGGGGCACTTGACCTCGGTGTGTAGCAGCGGCCAATTAATTAACAAAATACTTTTTCTTTTCTCATTATGTCGTGCATGTGAGATATTTTATCTGACTGTAGATATGCATGCACATGAACATGAAATGTATGCTATTTTCAATGATATCAATATATATCAACATTTATTCACATAAAAACACTAATCACATAAGCACATAAATCTTCACATAATAGAGTATATCAATACTCGGTTTGTGCATTGTAGTTGGGAATAGACTTGTACTTACCTCGAGTCCTTAGTTTATAGCCTTGTCTAGATGGTAATCGACTCGTATGTTTAACTTGATCTAATCATAACAAAATATGTTTATTAATTTATAATATAAAATTATTAACATATCATAAGAATTATAAATAAATTAAGTACTTTCTAGATTTACAACCATGCGCAATATTTAATTACAAAATTCATATTTTAACTTATTCTTTCTCCTATATATTCATAAGACACAAACCTACGATTTATATGTAGACTAAAAACATAAACGAGCATATTAGGACAGTGAAAACTAGTCAAAACCGACGTAAAACTGCCACCAAATCTGACTACAACCAGGTAAGCGTAGTGCTCGTATTTTAATCATAACTTTTAATATATAAAGTATTTTAGACTTATTTTTAAAATTTTAGAAACACAAGAGATAAAACTACAATATTTATGAAGACACTAAAAATAAAAATAGAACGATAAATATATGAAATATCCTGCAAACCGACAAACAAATGGTTTATGTTTAATATAGAATAGACTAACACGATGATCATATTTTAAGCGTAACTTTTTATATAAAATAGATATTTATGAAATTCGTGTTCCTGTAGAATGACCATAATCTTTACTATAAATTCTATGAAGACACCTAAATTAAAAGAACAACTTTTGAAGGTCAAATAATATAAAGCCGAACGAATTGCACAAAATGGCAAAATGCATATATATACGCCTCGTTACCTATTTTCGACATTTCGAAATCAAAATCTAATTTCACCATGATTCTAGGAATGAGGGCTTTAATTTGATATATGATTTATGAAGTTTCGGTAGTTTGACAGTCGAGTTTGGGGTCACCGAAACATAACTGTTCGTGGCCCCGTTCACATTCTTTAAACACCGATTTTTAAAATTGTTAATATATTTAAAATCTTTAAGTTTAGATGAACAATTTGATAAATTATCTAAGCATAACAACAGTATTCAAAAAAATATTAAATAGACAAGAAAAGGTAATTAAACTACCTTATAAGACGATACTCCAAAAACAAACTCTACTTGATATCTCTATTTTCTTATTTATTCTTATTATTCTTTACGTCTGTTAACATTTGCAGCCCCAACCTTTATTTATAGAGTGGAAGCACCGCCTTATGTGTATACGTAAACATATAGATATCAGTATATCTATATTATTGTTAAACGTGGCATATTATGGCCGAATAAGTTAACCAACTCATTTGATAGAATTGTGACTTGATAAGATTGATAAGTATACGTGTATGCTATTTAAAAAATTAGATCTATGGATATATTTAACAATCTTATCCATTATCTTTATTATATATATACTAAACACCTAGACCTATATAAATTATAGATAGGATATAACTTATAGATGGGATAATATTTATTAATTATAGATAGGATAAGATTGAGCTTATAAATTAATTGGAGTCCTTTTTGAATAGATTTCTCATGCATCACGTGTACATTTTTTATACAAGATTATATGCAAACTTATACATCTTATATTTATATTAATATGTATACATAAACTAATATATATATATATATATATATATAAATACAGGGGAGGATCCAATGAGTCCACATCTTAAAATGTGAACGTGAGACTAATTCTCAACCCTTGGATCTGGCTTTTAAATATACGATCAGCATCAAGAGTATAATTACAACTCCCTCGCGCACCAAAACAGAAAAAAATATCTCAAATTTCCTTCTCACTCACGATTCTCTGCAGTTTCCTTCTCAATCTCGATTTCCTTCTCAAACTCAATTTTCATATCAGTTCGATTTCATGATATTTGTCTGCAAATGTCGGCATAAGCAGCTTCAATGGAGATCGAAGCAACTCCAGTTGCGAAATTGATGGAAGAAGGTGTACCGATTTTATTTTTTTCCAAATCGATTCATTGAATTTTAAATAAATACGTGCTTCTGAATTCAACATTCATGTGAATCGAGTTATTTAATTAGATCGATCACATTATATTAAGACAACTGTTCGTGTTTATCTGCAATTCTGATTTGGAGGTAGAATCTCTGTTTTCTAATAAGCATATTACATATGCTGTGGTTTATGAATACATGTGCATGGAGAAATAACTAAATATGCAATATGTATTAATAATTATGCACGTAGAAATTGGGTGTTGCACTGTTATGCTTGCACATTAGATGAATATATAATAAAACAAACTATGCATGAAAGAATAAGTAATTATGCATGATTATATCAATAAGTATGCACGTTATAATTGCTTATTCATTCATCCAGATGTTCTGCATTACAAACATATATGCAATGTCGTATATCTAACTAAGCAACTTGTTGAACTAAGTATGCAAAAGTCTCATGATAAGAATGCACGTTATAATTGCAGTTGTTTTATATTATAACTGTATATGCACCGTTTTAATTATAAAATAGCAACATTGTTGAACTAAAATTGCAACGGTTATCAAAACTTGTTTTTCTTTTTATATTTTGAAGTAGGTACTACTCATAAGGAATCTCAGATTCAATTTGTGATATCGCCAAATTTAACAAAGTATTGGATGCCAATCGTCCAACAAGATATAAAGCCTAAAGTCGGAATGTTGTTTCCAAATCTTGATATTGCAAAGGAATTCTACAGAAACTACGGAGAAAATGGTGGATTTGATGTGCGGACTTAGACAACAAAACGATTTAGAAGTGGCGTGATAAATAAACAGTATATGGTTTGCAATAGAGAAGGATTTAAGCCAGAAAACACACAAAATACTTCGAAGAGCATGTCCAACTACATTCTGAGTCAAGTGTGGTTCCACAACACCGTGTGTCAAAAAGGGTTGGTTGCAAAGCTCGAGCAGTATTTGAGTATGATGGAAATGGGTACAAAATCGCCGAATTTGAAGAAAAACATTCACGCCCTGTCATTGGAGACACAATATCTCAATGTAAACCGGCAATTGAATTACAGACACCAGAAAGTTATTCTTAATTGTGTGAGAGCAAACATTGGCACAGCTAAAAGCCATAGATTGTACAAGGAGATGCTTGGGGGAGATGCTAACGTTGGTGCTCTCAAAATGGATTTCAAGAACTACAAGAGACAACTTATGACTTACATGTCAGGAGCAGATGCACAACTCATCGTTAAAAAAATCCACCACAAACAAAAAGTATGCCCAGACATGTCATTTGAGTACACAGTTGATGGAAATAACAAATTAAGCAAGATATTCTGGGCAGACCCAATTTCAAGAAAAAATTACCTGCTGTTTGGAGATGTCGTCTCATTTGATGCAACCTACCACACTAACAGGTACCTCAACTCTTACTGCATATAAAAACAAAAGATATTTTATTGTTAAAGTTGTGATAATACATTTGCAATATGTTTAAATTGTTATGATATATCTTAATGTTATAGTTGTGAGTGTAATGAATTAAATATGCAACATGGTTGAACTAAATCTGCATTCATTTATAACTTAGAATGCATCAATGTATATATAGAAATAAGTATAGAGATTTTATTTTGACACAGAATAGTCTGCATGACTGGACAATTAAGTATGCATTTTTTTATAACTAAATAGGCAACTAGTGTAAATTTATATAT